TTTTGTTTTTTTTGCTTTTACCACAGGCAGAGCTAATGAAGGCAATTGGCTGAGCTCTTTAGATACAGTCTAGAATAGGACAAGAGTGCCTACAATTAAACTAGTAAATTTTCTCTCTGCTCTGCTGCCATCCTCTCAGTTTAACAGTAGGTGTGTGTGTGTGTGTGTGTGTGCGTGCACGCCAGGTTTATGCTACATTGTGGGGACGCTGTGGGGACCTTTCTTCCACACGCTGGTCCCCACAATGTACATCATTACTTTTAAGGTCAAGACATACACTAATCAGGCATAACACTATGACCACCTCCTTGTTTCTACGCTCATTGTCCATTTTATCAGCTCCACTTACTATATAGGTGCACTTTGTAGTTCTACAGTTACAGACTGTAGTCCATCTGTTTCATTGCATACTTTGTTAGCCCCCTTTTACCCTGTTCTTCAGTGGTCAGGACCCCCATGGACCCTCGCAGAGCAAGTACTATTTGGGTGGTGGATCATTCTCAGCACTGCAGTAACACTGATGTGGTGGTGGTGTGTTAGTGTGTGTTGCGCTGGTCTGAGTGGATCAGACACAGCAGTGCTGCTGGAGTTTTTAAATACCTCAGTGTCACTGCTGGACTGAGAATAGTCCACCAACCAAAAATATCCAGCCAACAGCGTCCTGTGGGCAGCGTCCTGTGACCACTGATGAAGGACTAGAGGATGACCAACACAAACTGTGCAGCAGCAGATGAGCTATCGTCTCTGACTTTACATCTACAAGGTGGACCGACAAGGTAGGAGTGTCTAATAGAGTGGACAGTGAGTGGACACAGTGTTTAAAAACTCCAGCAGCACTGCTGTGTCTGATCCACTCATACCAGAACAACACACACTAACACACCACCACCACATCAGTGTTACTGCAGTGCTGAGAATGATCTACTACCCAAATAGTACCTGCTCTGTGAGGGTCCATGGGGGTCCTGACCCCTGAAAAACAGGGTAAAAGGGGGCTAACAAAGTATGCAGAGAAACAGATGGACTGCAGTCTGTAATTGTAGAACTACAAAGTGCACCTATTGTAATGTTATGCCTGATCGGTGTATATTAAGGTAAGGTTAAGGTTAAGGTTAGGATAAAGGTTACAGTTAGGGTTGGGCTAGTAGTAGTTATTTATGGCTAGAGTTTGTGAAAATCTTCAGGAAATGAATGGAAGTCTATGTAGGGTCCACACAATTCACAGAAACAAATGTTTGTGTGTGTGTGTGTGTGTGTTAATGTGTGTGTATGTGTGAGAGAGTGGGTGGTTTGGCCCTCAGTGTTCTGCATCTTGGCTGTGCGCATTATCAGGTGCTGCACGGTGGTTGAGGTTAAACCCCTGGTCACTCTCTCACTTGTCTGAATAATCAGCCTTCTTTCTTCTCTCTTTCCTCTCTTGTTCTCCATTGTTGTAATTGTGTATGACTTGCATGTGTGTGTGTGCCTTTCTGGACATTTGCATTAGGGTAGGACATTCAGAGTGGTTTGATGTGAGATGGTTCATTGTAGAGAAACTTACAGACACAAATTTCTTTACAGTAGTGGTGATAGGAACCAGGGGTCAGCATGTCTACAGCACAAATACAGCCATTTTATTTACTATCCAAAACCACCAGTGAAGCTACACGCCTTCTTAGTTTTTATATGTAGTGTCGATGATGGTAAAATAGTCATAAATCTGAAATAATTAATTTTCTTTGGGGTTTATTTTGCCTCACAACGCCCTGCATGTATCCCTCCGCCATGAATTGGCTGATGAAAAAAATGTGTTTAGGCCAAAATCTTACTTTAAAACTACGTCGGACATCAGGCAGTGTTTTCTTAACCATTTCATGTAGCTTTCTGTGAGGCATGGAGCTCTACAGATGTCTGGTTTCTATCACCAACACTGTGAACAATTCTGACTGGGTATGTTCCCAGAGAACTGAACATTTCACATCAAGCCAAGGCACATGACTTTGTTTAAATCTTAATGATTTAATTATGCAGGGACATTAAAACTTGGTGGAATTCCCCTTCAACATCTGAAATAGATCTGGTGGGTGAGATGCGTTTGTTGGACCTAAAGATAGATCTTCTGTAACCTATTGTCTCCAATAATTTCTGTTTGGTTCACATTTTGTATGCATTTTTGGGTCCAGGTTGGCTTGGGAACGCAGCAGTGAGTCAGTTGTGTGGGATTCAGACGCTTTAGGGAACAAAATGAATAGTTTGCACATAAAAGCAGCACATTAATCACCTCGAAGTAAATCCGCACAACAGAACAGCATGCATTTAACACCTATTACCCAAACAGATACTGTACATGTAACTACCTGCTTTTCTTTGACTAGAAGGAAGTTCATTGGGTGCACTTATCTGAGATAGAGAGCTTGCCTATGCAGCACTGTTGTCTTCTTTCAGTATATCTTAAATGGCCTTGCTTCTTATGAAATTCATCTTTTCCTTTCATTAAACTCAAATAGGTACGGTTCCTCAAAAGTGATGCTCTATGCTGTTTCTAACAATGATTTTGATAGAAATTGTGAAAGTCTTTTTGAACACTCCCTTGAAAGAAGGCCTTATTTGTTCACGGGAACATGAATCACACTTGCCACCGCGGTCTCATGTCATCCGTCCCTGTGTGAGAACTTTTTAACCGTGTTCCCAGCTTTTTCTTTAGTAGTCATTTTCTCTTTTATATTTAGTGTGACATTTGTGAAATGAATCTGAAAGACGAGATGCATTTGCTGGACCTGAAGGATCTATCTGAAGTGGATCAGTAAAGCCAGCGACATTGGTAGAATAAAAAGATCTGGAGGGAAAGATGCATTAGTTGGACCTAAAGGATCTGTTGCCTTCACCCTATATTTTGAGTGATATTTATGGATCCTACAGAGCCCCACTGGTGACATCCTGTATAATTTAAAAATAATGCATGGCCACAACTTAGAAGGCATAGGAACAAGATAATTAAGTTGTGGCTGCGACTTAGTAAGGCATGGGAATGAAATCCTAATGTGTGGCCAGAACTTAGTAAGGCATGATCTCGTTCCCATGCCTTACTAAGTCATGGCCATGCATAAGGATCTCATTCCCATGCTTCAATAAGGTATGGCCAAGCATTATCTTTATTTATAAGGCATGTCACCAGCAGGGCTCAGTAGAATTCAAATGGAAGATACGTTAGTTGGACCTAAGGAATCTGTTTTAAAATAGATTCACAAAGCAAAGCACATTAGTGGCACTTTCAAGAATCTTTCTAAACTAGATAAGGGAGGCATAAGGGAGGGAGGTGAACCTAAAGGATCTATCTTAAAAAAATCCAGAGGGTGAGGCTCAGTAGTGGGACCTAAAGGATCTATTGTCTTCTCTTTTTCTCTTCCACGTTTATTATACTCATGAATCTAGAGGACAAGATCTGGAGAATGAGATGGATTAGTTGGACCTAGAGGATCTATCAAAAAATGGACCCAGAGGGCAAGGTGTATTTGTTGAATTTAAAGGATGTATTTAATAAAGATCCAAAAGCAAACATGCATTAGATGGACCTAAAGGATCTATCGCCTTCTTTTTTACTCTTCTACATGTAAGGTAATATTTATGAATCTGGAGGTCAAGATCCAGAGGACAAGGTGGGTTAGTTGGACCTAAGGGATCTTTCTAAAATGGACAAGAGGCATTCTTTGAACTTGAAGGATCTTCTTAAAAAGAATCCAGAAGGAAAGATGCATTAGTTGGACTTAAAGTATCAATCAAGTATGCATCCACAAAGAACAGTGCATTAGTTGGACCTAAAGGATCAATCTAAAGTGGATCAGGAAGGCAAGCTGCATTAGTTGAACTTCAGTGATCTCTCTAGAAATAGATTCAGAGGGGCAGGATGCATAAGATGGACCTAAAGGATCTATCGCCTTCTCTTTTTGTCTTTACATGTAGGATTATATTAATGAATCGAGAGGTCAAGGTATGGAGGACAAGATGGATTAGCTGGACACAAGAGATCTATCTAAAAATGGATCCAAAGGGCAAGGTGCATTTGTTGAACTTAAAGGATCTATTTAAGAATAATCCAGAAGGAAAGATGCATTAGTTGGACCTAAAGCATCTATTGAATATGCATCCACATAGAACAGCGCATTAGTTGGACCTACAGGATCAATCTAAAATGGATCAGGAAGGCAAGCTGCATTAGTTGAACTTCAGTGATCTCTCTAGAAATAGATTCGGAGGGCAAGATCCATTAGTTGGACCTAAAGGATCTATCTCCTCTTTTTCTCTCCTACATTTAGGCTGGCATTTATGAAATGGACATGGAGTTTAATTGGACCTAAAGTATCTGTTCCCTTTTTTTTTTCAGTGTAATCAGAATGCACTCAAAGTACACCAGCCTCCTGATTATCTGCTCTATTTTAAATTTCATGCACTTTAATCTGTAATCATGACTCTGTAATGTGAGTATCAAATCCACTGATTTAATGTAATCTGATGCCATCAGGCCTTCTTCATTAAGGCTGCGCTGATTTTTATGTTTATTTGCTGGGAATGTTTTTGAGAAGAGCGGCTTTATGCCGAATGACGTGTTCTCTGAAAACACACTGATCTGATTTGAGTGCATTTGCATCATTACATTTAGTTTTTTCCCACCAAGTGCTATTAGCTCATGTGGCATTGGTCATTTAGCCTCTACCAACTTTATAGAGGTGGTTCTCTCAGAAATCCTGCGTGTTCTAGGACAAATGCTTAATCCAGGTCCATAAAACCTGCTCATAAAGCGAGTTAAACTGTGCCGTTAATCTCAGAGCAGGGCAGTTCGGGCTGCTGCGCTGGCCACTGAGGACCTTCTCCCACCTGCTGGCGCACTGCTGAAGTCAGATCAAGGCTGAATAGTGACGTTTTAGCGATCCTGTGCTGAAGTTTTTGTCTAGGCTTCTTCGTTTTGGTTTTGCTTCACCGTTTCTCTCTCTTTCTTTGTTCTCTCCCGGCGTGGCCTGCGCTAGAGTCTCAGTGCACTCTGTGTGGTGAAGCAGAAGGTGAGTGGGCCTTGCTTTCTTCGTTTTTTGGACTTTTTGTTTGTTCCTCTCATCTCATCAATGCTTTTGCTAACTCGCTAACTGCAGGGAGTGAAGCGTGCTGTGTCTGTGTGAGTGTGTGTGTGTGAGAGAGAGTGCGCGTGTGTGTGTGTGCTCTGTGTGTGTGTGTGTGTGTGTGAGTGTGTGCTCTGTGTGTGAGAGAGAGTGCGTGTGTGTGTGTGTGCTGTGTGTGTGTGTGTGTGTGTGTGTGTGTGTGTGTGCTCTGTGTGTGTGTGTGTGTGTGAGTGTGTGCTCTGTGTGTGTGTACGTGTGTGAGTGTGTGCTCTGTGTGTGTGTACGTGTGTGAGTGTGTGTGAACGTGCTGTGTGTGTGTGTGTTTGTTTTTGCTCATGCTGCTAGCGCCGAATGCTAAAAGGCTAACTGTCACTGGGTTCTGGCCCCGCCCCATCCTCGCTGCTCTCTGATTGGCTGAGCTTAGTTTGAGGTTGAGAGAAGGCCAATCGCTCTGTGACCGTTGCTAACAGCTAATCGCTAACGCTCCCATCACTCACTCAGACGGCTGTGTGTGTGCAGTGGGTGGTCTCTCTCTGTGGGCTCTGCATTTCTCTTTCTTTTCTTTCTTTCTCTTTTCTGTATTTTTCTCTCTTTCATTATTTTTGTATACTTTATTATTTCTTTCTTTTTCTCCTCCTCAACACACATTTTTCTTTCTTTCTTTCTTTCTTACCTTCTTTCTTTCTTTTTTGTATTTTTCTTTCTTTCATTTTTTCTTGTATACTTTCTTTTTTCTTTCTTTCTTTCTTTCTTTCTTTCTTTTTTTTCTTTCTTTCTTTCTTTCTTTCTTCTGTATATTTTATTAACACTTCAATTATTTATTTTCTTTTTTATTTTCTGTCTTTTTACTTCTTTTTAAAGTTTCGTTCATTTTATTTCCTTCTTATCTCCCCCCTCTCTCACAATATTCTGAGGTTTTGTCTGTTTGTTTTTCTGTTTTACATCTTCTTTCTTTTTTATTTATACCTTCATTCTATGTCTTCTTCTTCCTCTCTTTCTCTTCCTCTTTCACACAGTTCTGCAGTTTTCTTTCTTTCTTTTTTTGTATTTTGCTCTCTTTCATTATTCATTGTATACTTTTTTCTTTCTTTTCTTGTTTCTTTCTTTTTTCTCCCCCTCAATACACATTTTTCTTTCTTTCTTTCTTTCTTTCTTTCTTTTTTGTATTTTTCTTTCTTTTATTATTGCTTGTATATTTTCTTCTTTCTTCTTTCTTTCTTTATCCCTCCCCTCAACACACACATTTTTCTTTCTTTCTTTCTTTCTTTCTTTCTTTCTTTCTTTCTTTCTTTCTTACTTTCTTTCTTTTCCTACCCCTCTGTGCTAAAGCTTATGGTGTAACTCCTCTGTGAATCACAGGTTGATCAGATGTGAGTCGCTGAATGTGCTCCAGTGGTCTCTCAGCGTCTGTCGTCTCTGTACAGCTGTGTAGAAATAGAATGTTTGGTGACTGTACAGCAGCAGTACAACGACAAAACACGTGAACACACCAGACTACTCTGCACTGTGTGTGTGTGTGTGTGTGAGAGAGAGAGAGAGAGAGAGAGAGGCAGAATGTGGTTCAGAGGTTCAGTTCTTGTCCTGCGCGCAGCAGATCAGCGCTGCACTGTGAGCTCTGTGCTCTGCTTTGTGTCTCACATGGACAATCAATAAAGCTCTGACTGGCTGTCTTATTGGATTAAGACTGAATTTGATTGCCTCCCATAACCAAAACCATGACCATCACTGCATATAGACACAGGGATGTTTTCCTCTGGAGCTCCACCCTACAGGAGCGGTGAAACATTTAGATGCTCCTATTATAGAACTGTACAGTAAATAAGTTTGAAACAACACTTTGTATTTTGGATTCTTGAAGATGAGGACGATGGAACACACAGCTATGAAATACTGCAGGGCTGCTCTCGCTGTTGTGATCTGGATGATAGAAATAGAACTAGAAGCGAAAGTTTGTGCAGGAGCTTTAAGTAGGTTTGATAAAGCAAGCTGTAAATGCTTGAAAGCAGCTGCTGATTGTTTTTGATTACTTTGTTGGGTTTATATTGTAATTCCTGGTTGCTAGAGTGTTGCTAGGTGGTTGTCATGGTGTTCCAGGTAGTTGCTATGGTGTTGCTGTGGCATTTAAGCTGGTGGCTAGGGTATGCTAAGTGATTCATATGTTATTCCAGGTGGTCACTAGGGTGTTGCTGTGTGGTTGCTATGGTAATGGCGGGGCTGCTAGAGTGTTGCTAGGTGATTGTTATGATATTCCAGGTAGTTGCTATGGTGTTGCTGTGGCATTTAAGGTGGTTGCTAGGGTATGCTAAGTGATTCATATGTTACTCCAGGTGGTAACTAGGGTGTTGTTGTGTGGTTTCTATGGTAATGGCGGGGATTGCTAGAGTGTTGCTAGATGGTTGTTATGATATTCCAGGTAATTGCTATGGTGTTGCTGTGGCATTTAAGGTGGTTTCTAGGGTATGCTAAGTGATTCATATGTGTGCTTGTGTTGCTAGGTGGTTGTTATGATATTCCAGGTGGTTGCTATGGTGTTGCTGTGGCATTTACGGTGGTTGCTAAGGTATGCTAAGGGATTCATATGTTATTCCAGGTGGTCAGGAGGGTGCTGCTGTGTGGTTGCCCTGGTAATGGAGATGATTGCTAGAGTGTTCTTATATGGTGACTCTGGTTTCCTTGGCTGTTAGGGGGTTGCTAGGTGGTCGCTATAGTGTTCCAGGTGGTTGCAATCTCTTGTGCTTGACACAGGGTTGCTGTGGTGTTCCAGGTGGTTGCTAGGGTACTGTTAGGTGGTTACTAAGCAATTGTTATGGTATCTCTGGTGGTTGCTAGGGTGTTGCTAAGTGGTTGTTATTGTATTGGAGGTGATTACTAGAGTGTTATTAGATAGTTATTAGCGACTATGGGCTGCCGTGGCTATTACATGGTTGCAGTGGTTTTCCAGGTGGTTGTTAGGGTAATACTAGGTTGTTGAGAGAGAGAGAGAGAGAGAAAGAGAGAGACTGTGTAAGAGTTTATTTGTTTTTATGGCTCTTTGTGTGTGTGTGTGTGTGTGTGTGTGTGTGGACAGTGAGAGCCATGGGAGTGCATGAGAAAATGAGTGAGGGAGCTTTATCCCCTCAGGTGATCTACAGAGAGAGAGAGAGAGAGAGAGAGATGAATTGAATGACTCAAGTAAAGAGAGTGAAAGAGATGGAAATAAGAAAAGAAAAGAACAAGTGATGCAGTGACTGGAGTTGTGCTGTTACCTTGTACTTCCGCTCACTGGCCACTTTATTAGAAACACCTACCTTGAGCTTCCATTGACTGGCCGCTTTATTAGAAACACCTATCTTATAGATGTACTCCACTATATATATATGTACAGTCTCCCTCTACAACTTTCATCATTGGCCAGTTTCTGACCACTGGACTGCTGTTGTCCAGATACTTTTTGGGTGGTGGATCATTCTCAGTACAGCAGTTCATATCCATTCAAGAGCAGCTCTGTGGTCTGAAACTGAGCTAGAGGATAACTAACATGAACATGAAGCTACAGGAGAGGGGTTTCTAATAAAGTGGCCAGTGAGTATAGTGATATTGAGCCCTGTGATTCTTGTGAGAGTTTGTCACAGTTCCTTATAGTGTGTAAATGGTCCAGGATGTGGAAAATCTGGTCATCACTCCATTTCTTATCTTTCACACTAATTATCTGCCTGAGTCTTGGCAATTCAGGACCTTATCTGCAGACTGATTGGATCAGGGCTGTTCAATTGAGCTGAAAATGGTGTGAAATACAGAGCGACCCTGTTGTTCGTTTATTCCAGCCTTCACGCTTGTTGAGTTCACGTGTGATGCTTTGCCCATCATTCGGTTTATTCTTTCTGTTCTGTATGTAGCTATATGTATTTTTTCTCTCAGGCCAAACCAAGCTCAAGTCTGCAGTTTGTGTTGTGTGTTGTGCTATAGTGTTCCAGGTGGTTGCCACTCCTAGTCTCAGCCTAGATTCGCCTACTACAAAGTCTTGGTTATGATTCAGACTTGCCTATAGTGGTTTTGACTACAACAATACATATACTCATGAGCCCTATTTAGACAAGTTTAAATACTTTTGGGGTCCTCTTTTACAGGGTGCTGCATCGTGATCTACCTTCAGAGAATTATAGGCTGAATTTCATTGTTTTTCACCAAACCCAGCGGTGGTCTAATCATTTTAGTCACACCTCTGTGATTTTCCAGCTAGATGTCGCCATGCTTTGGAAAGAAAGGCTTTTGACCACCATTACCATATTTAGTCTCCTAGCCTGCGTATACATATTAGACACGTCCCAAATCACAAAACCAGAGATGACTTAGAAGAGTCTCTCAACCACTTACTTGATCTGGGCGTGCAGCCCATTTCCAAAAAGGTTGGGAAAAATGTGCAAAATGTAAATAAAAACAGATTGCAATGATATGCAGATCATGTAAATATACTCTATATTCAATTGAGAATAGTACAAAGACAATTTATGAAATGTTGGAACTAAGAAATTTTATTGCTTTTTGAAAAATATTTGCCCATTTTGAATGAACGTTTGGGAACTGAGGAGAGCAACTGGTGTAGTTTTCAAAATTAAATGTTTTGCAATTTTTGTTTGATATATGATTTCAGCTGCTCAACAGTTCGGGGTCTCTTTTGTTGTATTTTTTGTTTCATGATGCACCATATGTTTTCAGTGGGTGACAGATCTGGACTGCAGGCAGGCCGGTTTAACACCATGCTCTACTATATACTATACGCTTTACTATAGAGCTTTGCTGTTGTAATACATACAGAATGTGGTTTGACAATGTCTTGCTGAAATAATCAAGGTCTTCTCTGAAAAAGACGTTGTCTGGATGGCAGCATATGTCGCCTCAAACTCAAAACGTCTTTAATCTAATCTTCTGTTCTACATTCTAGAGTAGTCTTGCTTTGTCTTGGTGCTGCTGCATACTTTCTGGGCCAGTTGTCTCCAACCCTAGTCCTGGAGAGCTACCTTCCAGCACAGAGTAATTAGAACCTGTATCCAATATGCTGACCCGCCCCTAACTTAACTCTAAAACATCTGATCCAGTCATGGACATGGGAGGAGATTGATTAGCTGTAGTGGGTGTGGAAAATTGTGGTTGGAGCAAGCCTCTGCAGGAAGGTAGCTCACCAGGACCAGGGTTGATAACCACTGTTCTAGACGTTCTGTCACGTAGCTTCATGAGTAGCCACCTGAGATCTTGTTGGCATCTGAAAAAAGACTTTTGTTTTGGAATTAAATTCATACCTACACTATATAGCTGGTTTAACTACTGTAAGCAAGCCTGCCCTGTTCCAGTTCGAATTAGGCACCACGTATTTGTAATACCCAGTCAGCAGATACGTGTTTACTTGTAAGCATGTTTTGCTTTCGGATTTCATCCAGCTCTAGTTACTACATTTTTCCCATAACACAGATTTATGAGGCCACAAAGGGGAGGCCCATTACTGCGTCCACTCGCAGTTATGATTAACACTACAACATGATGCCGGAGATTGAGTGGATTGAATAATGGTTGTGTTGTACATGGCTTCAGCAGAAAATCAGCATGCGTCCCCAGCGTCCTTGACCCTCTGGGCGTTTGTCATTGGGACCCCGTCTGTAGGACGTCCAGAAAATAAATAAAGAAATAAAATAAAATCATAGATCACCTGCTCGTTCGCAAACCTGGTCTGCACAAAATTGATTGTAATTATTAGCCAGCTCAGCTGGGAAAAGGCCGAGGTGAAAGCCTGATTTGTGTTTGCCTCGAGTGGAAAAACATACGTTTATGAAATTTTTGCCCCGTCGCAGGAAAGCGTAGTCAATTCATTTTCCAGCCTGACCTGAATTTCTACAGAGAGGCAGTACATGACTGAATGAAAGACCCAAACAGGCTGTGAATGGATAATGTGACTGAATCTGAGTGAGGAAAGTGACTATTGACAACTCAGCATGGTCTGAGGCAAATATGTGATGATTTAGGTGCTCAGTTGCATGATGCTAATTGCTAGGAGAAAGCTTCCATTACTTGTTAGCTTTATTTGGTTTCTCCAGTGCAAAACTTAAAGGGACACTTTGGCCAAAATGAAAAAATGAACCATTGCTACATCTTTGAAACATTGTAAACCTACTCGTCTTCTATAGTGGTGCCACAGGAGTGTGATTGTCTGGTTTAAAGACAAGAAAACACCTCTTCTGAGGTCTTGAAGGAAAAAGAAGTTTTGAAAAACTACACCTGCTTTATGGTGGATTTTTGGTTGATTTTTTTTTCTTGCTGGTGAACACAGAAGGAAGGCAGATAGCTAACATTGCTACTAGGCCCAGTATGTTACTGCAGCTATGTGAGTGTAGTAACTGAAATAGATGACTCAAACAACAGAAATGACTAAAAACTAAAGTTAGCAAGGCAATTACTTGAAAATCTAGATATGTGACATTAATTTGGCTTCTTTTTTATGGCTGAAAGGGTAAAAACCTGTGTCTGGTATCCATTTTGAACTGCATAAAGATAGAGCTGCTGTTTTTTTATGATTTTGTTCGACAACCAAGGTAAGAGTGACACTAATGCTAGCTTGGTTGTATTTATTACCTTGTAGATCGGTGGCTAGGCTAGCAGGCATGATTAATCAACATCACAGGAATTTCCAGTGGTTGTGTGATGTATAAAGGCATGCTGGGTATTGTAGTGAGAAAACATTGATGAGCAAAAACATAAAAATGATGTAAAATCATGAACTCAACCAAGGTAAGAGTAACACCAATGCTAGCTTGGTCATATTTATTGCCTTACAGATTGGTGGCTAGGCTAGCAGTCAGGATTGATTGACACCACAGCGATTCTCATTGGTTGTATAATGTGTTTACGAAAGGCATGCTGGGTATTGTAGTGAGAAAACATTGCTGAAAAAAACATAAAAATGATATAAAATCATGAACTCTGTGAAACTGATGAGGTGTATGGTGCTGCACTATAGAGCACATGGCAAATGACATCTGGTTTTAGGCCAGAATGCCCTTTTAAGAACGAAGCGTCTTGGCTGATTGGCTACATTTGTGTCCAGTGGGACAATTGCTTTAATTTTTTGCCCAACTTCTGCTTTAACATGCAAAAATGGAGCAGGAGAAGTTCTTAACAAATAGCATGAATTTTTATGCAGCCTCTGTGCTCATTTTAATCAGAACCAGACATAAAAATCAATTCACGAGGGAGGCCACCTTTTGCTCTCGCCGAGCGATTGATAAAATTGAGGCCAAGCATGTGGCGGGACTCACTTTTAGGGGGGACTCGTTTCGGCCCGCCTCGATTGAGCCGTTTGAAAAGTCTTTGTTTACTTCCCAAGCTGCTTCCATTCATCCTCGTCCTGTTGTTTATCCGTTTAGCCGGCAAAGTGTTTACCCTGATGAGTTGCCAAGGGAGACGAGCGGCTGCGTTGTAAACAGGAGATTTATGCTGACCCTGATCTTGTAGACCAGCTGATTGTTTCCTGGTGCGTCCTGCTGGAGCACTTATTAGGACAGAGCTGCAAATTGGCGTCCCATGGTGAAGATTTTTATTAGAACGTGTTCTCCTCGGTAACTGTCTGAAAAATGTTCCGAACGACTCATTTACATTTGCCTCCAGAATGTTTTGTTTGAAGCTGCAGACGAGTCAAACTGGTTTGAACTGGTTCGATCTGGAGTAAAACAGGATTCATGCAACCAGGAGAAATCTTGGAGCTGCATGTTGCTGGTGTACAGTTAGAGACTGTAGCCCATCTGCTGATCCTCAATTTGTGTTAGTCATCCTCTAGCAATTCATCAGTGGTCAGTTTCTGACCACAGAGCTGCTCTTGGCTGGATATTTTTGGATGGTGGACGACTCTCAGCCTCGTCTCAGCCTCACATGCTCTGCCCACGTACACATACTGTCTGACATCTGTTCCCCTTTAAGGTGGCCACAGCTATCAGCATTTTGTCACTTGCATTCTGTTTGGCTATCTGCATGTCCATGTTTGCATACTTCTGTGCAGCGGGCTTTGTCCATCTAACAGGAAACACTTTTTCAAGCATTTACTAGCTCTGTCGCCATGACAACATCAGTCTTTCAGATATAAGAATAGATATTGTTACCGGTGGTGCATCCTGTCTATTAGAGCTAGGCCTTCAATTTGGGCCTTGAATATCAAAGCTCTTAAAAAATCCCACCTCCACAATAATGCTAACTTCTGCTAGCATCTCTATGGGTTTCTAGTAGTTTGTTAGCACTAAGTTGATAGCAGTTCTTTCAGATAAAGGTATAGATATAGTTACCAGTGGTGAATCATGTCTGTTAGAATTAGGCCTTCAGTTTGGGCCTTAAATGTCAAAACTCTGGGAAAAAAGCCCACCTCTACAGTAATGCTAACTTCTGCTAGCATCACTGTGGGATTCTCATAGTTTGTTAGCACTAAGCTAATGGCAGTTTGCATGAACAATTTCTGATGAGGCTAAAGTTAGCTTCTCATTTGGATTTTCCGTTCCACCTTAAGTGGTGCAGCAGTTACATTCCAGCATGTTTAGGCACCAGAATGTAACTGCTGCAGCATTTAAGGTGGAGCAGAAAATTTGTTGGCACCAGAATGTAATTGTTTAAGGTGGGATGGAAAATTTGAAAAAAGAAGTTCTAGATGAAACACTTTCAGTCCCAACCTTTGGACGTCAAAACCTCATTGGTTTGTAATAATGCTGTTAGCAGTGTTGGGGTTATTACTCAAAAAAGTAACGTATTACACATGGATAGGGCTGCCCACCGCTCTGGGCAAGTGTGCTGACTGCCCCCTAGTGTGTGCGTTCCGTTCACTAGTGTGTGTGTATGATGGTGTTTTGCTGCATGGATGAGTTAGATGTGCAGGTCAAATTCCTCTGTGTGCAAACACAGTTTGTCAAAGGTTCTAAATTCTAAAAAAATTCTAAAAAAATCACTGCTTGTTACTTTTAAAACAGGTAATGCATTACTTTACCTATTTACTGCCTGTGGAAAGTAATTAGTTACACTACTCGTTACATTACTTTTGCATTTCTCCACAACATCATTTGAGACTGTGTGTAATTGCCAGTTAACAATAGCCTGTAAGCCTGTACCTAAGTAAAGGTCCTGAGATGTACCCTTGACAAGAGGGGTCCTGCCCCAGTAACAGTTTCCTACCTTTATTCAGAGTGTACAAAAACAGCACACAAAGGCAGTTTAGTTCATTTTTTAACCCTAATTAAAAACAGAATAGTACATATGAAGTACATTTTTCTGAGTCTGACATCATTTTAAAGTAATTAAAAACACAAGCACTGCTCACTGCTGCTCTGTCTAGTGGTACTCCACGCATGCGCATCATTTTGGATCAGATTACTTGTAGTGCGCATGTAAATGGAGATTTTCATCAGATTGTTGAGTAGAGTGAGCATAAACACCCCAGTCTAAATCTGTAATCAGAATGTATGAAAATCGGATTGGCAAAAATCTTTGCATGCAAACACAGCCAGTGTGTCTTTTGATAGAGTTTTATAATGTGGTATTTCATTAAAACCGCTGACTGTCCCAGTCCTACTACAGATTCAAATTGGTCAAGATTGTAAAGGCCCTCCAAAGTGGACTTTAGCAATATTAGCTTTATCCCATCCGCAGATATCCTCATGGACGCCGGCGTCTCGCCCATTTCTCGTCTTGCTGGCAGCTGTGAGGAAACAGTGAGGCTCGGCTGTCTCTTCTTGTCTCCAGTGTAACACTCCACAAGCTCCTCTTATCCTATCTGTCCAGCCCTCTGGGCCCTTTGCCCGCTCCAGAGCTACCTGTAATGACATTAGTGTCTAATGCAGGGTCCCACAGCGACGACCGAGTCCGGTCCATCTTTAATTTTAGAAATCCATTTACATCGAAGAGTGGTTATACGGTCATGACATCTGCCAGGCAAGAGATGCTGGACAGTAACTTAATGTCTTTGACGGACAGTGACTTTGAGCAGAGGTTAAAGGAATAGTTTGGCAAAAAATCTAATTGACCAGTTTCCCCCCTCAAATGCAGTCGATCAGCCAAGACATTGGTTTATTAAGTTTGCTTCTTTAGTTTTGCACAGGAAGTACGAGTGGAAGTAAAATATGAACATGGATTCAATTTAATTTAATTTACTGTATATTGATATAAGCGGTGGGCAATATACGTTACTTAAAGACATTTTCACGATACACAATATGTATTATGATATTTTGACATCATGCACAGGTAGTCTTGGCTATTGGGGTATATTTGGGCTAATATTTAGGTGAACTATCGCTTTAATGCCATAAAGCAGCTGGCATAACTAATAAAAGTCTGAGGCTGAAGTTTGTGGAGTTAGATGAGCCGGGCGCAGTCATTTCTGGTATGTTTCATATCAGCCAATTATCAGGCTCTTTTGGGGCATTAAAACGGAAACATTTTCCCTAATACTATTTCTGACCTTTAGAGTGGAGCGGAGTTAATGGCGTTTAACTGGATTTGGGTGACGCTGCTCAGACAGCTGTTTCTGTTCAGCGTCGCTGCAGTAATCAAATCGAACTCCATCCGCCGTCCGTTACAGCCGGGACAGATACGCACATAAATACATCCACATGGAGCGGCAGAGACGAGGAGGAGGGGTTCCATACTCTAACTCTCCCTTTCTCTCGCACTCTGTGCTGCCTTACTTTCTCCTGTTCACCTCCTATGTCTTGCTCCCCCCCCCCTCTCTCTCTCCCTTTCTCTCTCTCTCTCTCTCCCTCTCTCTCTCCCTCTCTCTCTCCCTTTCTCTCTCCCTCTCTCTCTCTCTCTCTCTCTCTCTCTCTCTCTCTCTTTAAGTAGTGTGTTTAGGTTATGAAAGCTCAGGAAGGAATATTGGGTCAGTAGATAAGTACACACAGTGAGTTTAGGTTTATGCATACACATAGTTTAGGTTCACATTTTGGTGTAGTTTAGTTTATTTGTAGGTGTGGTTTGTGTGTAGTTTGTGGTCAGCTGTGGGTGTAGTTTGTATGTAGTTTAGGGTCATGTGTGGGTGTAGTTTGTGTGTAGTTTAGGGTCAGGTGTGGGTGTAGTTTGTGTGTAGTTTAGGGTCAGGTGTGGGTGTAGTTTTTGCGTAGTTTATGGTCAGATGTGGTGTAGTTTGTATGTAGTTTAGGCTCAGGTGTGGGTGTAGTTTGTGTGTAGTTTAGGGTCAGGTGTGGGTGTAGTTTTTGCGTAGTTTATGGTCAGGTGTGGTGTAGTTTGTATGTAGTTTAGACTCAGGTGTGGGTGTAGTTTGTGTGTAGTTTAGGGTCAGGTGTGGGAGTAGTTTGTGCGTAGTTTATGGTCAGATGTGGTGTAGTTTGTATGTAGTTTAGGTTCAGGTGTGGGTGTAGTTTGTGTGTAGTTTATGGCCGTGTGGGTGTAGTTTGTGTGTAGTTTAGGGTTCATTTGTGGGTGTAGTTTGTATGTAGTTTAGGGTTCATGTGTGTGTAGTTTGTGTGTAGTTTATGGTTGTGTGGGTGTAGTTTGTGTGTAGTTTAACATTCATTTGAGGGTGTAGTTTGTGTGTAGTTTGGGTTTATGTGTGGGTGTAGTTTGTGAGTAGTTTGGGTTTATGTGTGGGTGTAGTTTGTGTGTAGTTTGGTTTATGTGTGGGTGTAGTTTGTGTGTAGTTTGGGTTAATGTGTGGGTGTAGTTTGTGTGTAGTTTGGGTTTATGTGTGGGTGTAGTTTGGGTTTATGTGTGTGTGTAGTTTGTGAGTAGTTTGGGTTTATGTGTGTGTGTAGTTTGTGTGTAGTTTGGATTTATGTGTGGGTGTAGTTTGTGTGTAGTTTGGGTTTATGTGTGTGTGTAGTTTGTGTATTTTAATGTTCATTTGTGGGTGTAGTTTGTGTGTAGTTTGGGTTTATGTGTGGGTGTAGTTTGTGTGTAGTTTGGGTTTATGTGTGGGTGTAGTTTGTGTGTATTTTAACGTTCATTTGTGGGTGTAGTTTGTGTGTAGTTTGGGTTTATGTGTGGGTGTAGTGACTGAATGTACAACTTTTTTCCTGATATCAGATCTCTGTCCAGAATGTTTCTCTGGCTATTTGCACTTACAAGGCACCCCTAGAATTTGTAATCATCTCGCTCCATGGAGTTCAAAGGCACATTCTGGCACACTCAGGCTCAACAGTGCTGGGAGTTGATGTGGAAAGCTGTGGAAATAGGACGGTGGGACTTTGGCAGTGCGGGGGTTCCCAATGCAATCAGTGTAGCGTCAATAAAAAGTAAGCCCACTGGGGGCAGCATCAATGGACATGTTTGTGAATCACAGGGGAGCAAAGCCTGATGGGAGGTGTTGTGAATGTTGTTAACAAATGGATAAAGATCCTCTGAGAGAGCCAAATATCTGAACACATTATAGAAGCTTACAGCAGAAACCAGAAACTAAAACTGCCTTCAGCTATGGTTCATGGGAAAGGTTCAAATCATGGATAGCATTTCGTTGTTGTCAGATCAAATCCTAATATCTCCAAACTTTACAGAAGAAGGTAAAAACATACTCTATGTTTAATGTAAATCAGTGGAACCAGACTTTTTTCCAAATAATTTTAGGTCATTCCTGTTGGTCCATTAATCATGGAACTTATACATGGTGATTTCAAGTTATGTCCAAAATTGGAAAACAACAAAAATGGAGATACAAAGTTTTGTTCCGACAGCAGCGGTATGGTTGCTGGTCATGGTCCTGAAAGGCATACTATAGCATGATTAAGATTAAGTTAAAGATTAATTGAGCCTTATTAGTCTCACAACAGGGAAATTTCACCTCTGCATTTAACCCATCCATGCAGTGAAACACCACATACACACTAGTGAATACACACACTAGGGGGCAGTGAGCACACTTGCCCAGAGCGATGGGCAGCCCTATCCACGGCACCCGGGGAGCAGTTGGGGGTTGAGACTTCAGTCACGTACAGTCGGCTCAGGGGATCAAACCGGCGACCTTCCGGTCACAAGGCTGGTTCCCTAACTTTTAGCCCACGACTGCCCCAAAAAAGCACTGTGTGGTTGCATCGGCCGGGAATCGGACCCAGGTCTCCCGCATGGCAAGAATTCTACCACTGAACCACCAATGCAAGGACTGGACGAAGCATGGTGCTGAAATACCAGCAACAGTGTGGTGTAACTGTCTACATTGCCAAAACACATACGATACTATGATGTTGCTGTCCATGGTTCTGAATCACACGTGGCTGTACTGTGTTGCTGTCCATGGTGCTGTCCATGGTGCTGAGATGCATACAGTAGTTTGGTGTTACTGTCCATGGTGCTGAAATACATACAATTGACTACCTCTTTTCCACTGGACAAAACTTGTGTTTTAGCAGAGATAAATGCTCTAAATGTGACCGAGACATATTTGCAAGCTAGTACATAGTAAAGAGATGTTAAATAACCAGCTACTTATATGTTATATATATAACTTCAAATCACCAGAAGCTCAAATTTGCTTCATCCATGTTGCAGGGCTTTTCAGGACGTCTCAGATTGGCTAAAAATATTCCCAGTTTGTCCTGGACAGCACTTGTGCACCCATTCTATCAGTTCTCAGCATTCTGAGTCTCTGATCTAAACTGGCTAATTGTCTCTGTCGTTCAGTAAGCTGTTTGTTTTGATAGCAGATGGTCCAGGTTTTCCCCCCATGCAATGCTACACCGAGCAATCTCCTGAATATTTAACGTTATCATGTGAAATTAGCACAGAAACTGTTCCTCACATGTGCACTTTAATGTCCGTCTGTCTCCGGATGAGAGCTTGCATTTGTCGAAGAAATGAAAATGGCATCTCGTAATTGCAATTCATTCTTCTTCAGCTGTATTTAGGCTGCTCTGAGTCAAAGGCTCTTTCAGAAATGGAGTGTTTGGCCCCTAAAAAAGCGATTTCTCTTTGCACGCAGAAACGCAATCCCATATGCTCAAATGAATCTTTTTTAGCCAGGGTTCCTGGTCATTATCACTGTTGGTGGAATGACTGCAGCATAATTACTGTACATTTGTGAGGAATAGTAAGTAGATGCTAAGTGTGAAAGCGTACAAACACACATTTTCTCTCTATCTGCATCTCTCGCTCTCTTTCTCACAGACGCAAGCAGAGTGGGTTTGTTTTTATGTTCATCAGCTCTTCTGTAAAACGAGTGTTCCTCTAGGGGGCCAAGCATTTCCTTTGAAATGCTTGTTAGAGGAAAGCATTGGCCCATAGAGACGCTTCTTCCTCCGTGCTTCTGTCCAGTACAGGTCAGCCAGGTCTCCTTCAGAAATTCAGATCGGAGCGGCCAATTACGCTAATAAGCCTGAGCTATGGTCTCGACTACTCACGTTTACACCCACTGAGTGTGACTAGGAGCCTCCACATTCAGCCTATAGGAAGAGCTCTAAGCACAAAAGCACAATAAGGTAACACATGATGCAACTGATGACTGAATGCAGATGCAGTCAAATGACCTGAAATTAACCTAGAATTAGCCATTTGTTTCAGTTAACTCAATATAAGGGTTAGCATTGCTGTCCATGGTCCTGAAATACATCCAATAGCAGGACTAGGCTCTTCTCTCTAAACACATTGATCAAAATCTGTGGCTGTATTACAGAAACATCCTGACTCTGAAGTCTTATCTGTTTAGTCACCATGACAACATCAGCTAGGACAGAATTTAGGACAGTAGTTATTACGGTAACACTTCATTTGGACAGCCCATTGTAAATGTTTTGTAGATGTTTATCTTGAATTTACCTTACATTTTAATAATTATCAGTTAAATCCATGTACTCTAAACCTAATCCTGACCCTCACAGTGGTCCTAAGCCTAACCTAGTCTTATCTGCACCCTCAAAATAAGTGTTTCTGCAGGCAATGCTGGTGGTTGGACTGCATACAAAACCATGCCAACTCAAAAGCGCTGGCTCTTTGCATGTGGTTCTTA